CTGTACAAAATATTTTTTGGGGGATTTATTGCTAGTAAAATCTAGAACTGGATAGGGATTGAGGCATGGGATACTCCAAAATGTTCAGCTGTAGATAGTGAACCGAGGACAGTCTTTCTAGAAGACTGATGAAGCAGTAATTGCTAATAGTGAACAGTTCAAGGCCCCAAGGTTGAAGACCATGGAGCAAGTCTTTGGGTATCTGTTTACCCTGCACCAGTGTGAAACTATCCATACCCAGTGCAGCATACAGCACACAGTCCCAAGGATTCATTTAAAGTGTTACTAAACCTAGGACCCTGCATTCACTATATATTGTCTCCCACAGTACACAGAACATGAAAATGCAATTATTTTAGTAAATAAAAACTGCTAAATACTTTTTCTCATCAGCAGTTAGAGCAGTCTTCTATCAGTGTCCGACTGAGCACTGGTTAAAGCTTGTAGGAAGAGTTTATTCTCCTCTAACTGTCCTATGAGGCTACATGACCCCTGACCACCTGTCTGGACAGTGTTGATTGGCCCTGTGCCGATCACATGCACCCTCCCGGAAAAAAAAAAAATCTAGCAATACACACAAAACTGAGCATGTGCAAAGTGTCTCCTAGAACTCTGTACTATCAGCAGATGAACTGGGAACTGTGGAAGAAGGGGAGGTTTAGAGAAGGCAGGATCAAACAGCCTTTTTACACAATGCAGAGGATTAACCCCTTAGGTTCCACAGTGAGTATACCAAGCCTGCTTTACTGCATATACAGACTGATTTCACTATTGTAGGTTTAGTAACACTTTAAGGTAACTAATCACACTTCCAAGGACAGCTTCCTCCTGCCAGCTTCTCTGGACACCCCAGTGAGTGAGATAGTGCCTTTCAGGGATCAGATCCCTTATGGTACGGTTCTGCAATCACTGCTCCACAGAAGGAGCCAAAGCTAAATTTACCTAGCCACCTACGCTAGGAGGGTGCTACATCTACACACCATTTTACTAATTGCAGTGAAATATGGGGGACAAATATTCCTAATATAGCATTCTAAAAATAAACAGATGTCACATTGCCTATACTGTATTTGAAGTACTCCATATATTGTATGTCACTATATTGACTTTTTTAGAGCATATATAATGACAATGATTCTTGTTTTGTTACCCTAATTGTTCCGAAGGGAGGTCAATTATCAGATGAAATATCATTTTTCCTACTTCCCAACTATCCCTGATTTCGAGGGACTGTTCCTGATTTGGATCAAATCCCCCTTTCCTCCTCATTTGCCCCTCATTATGGTGTGATATATATAGTTGTATATACTGTAAAACGAACTAGTTATCTTTCAAAAAGTGTTTAGCACTTTTCATCATTCATCCAGTTTCTAAATTGCTGCATTTGTAAACTTCAAAAGCCAGTATATAAAGGAATAGTATTGGTAAAAACAAAAGCACTTGTGAGTTGAACTAATCTTTTTTTCTTTGTATAATTCTCCTTTAACCACTTCCTGTCTGTCCGCCATTTTGGACTGTGCACGCTCAACAGGAGCGCGCAGCACCGCGATCCTGTTACCCGCTGTTTCCTCCAGACACAGTGGAACACCGATCGTCGTACGAGACTTCTGTGTGAGGTCTCGATCATGTGATCACTGATTGGCCAATCAGTGATCACATGCAGAATAGTAAGCAAGATGTCACTTCTGACATCATTGCTTACTACGTGTGAAATCTGTGAATGATCAGAGGTCACATGGTACAAGGCCATGCACAACAGCCTTGTACCATGTGACAAGCTGTAACCAATCACAGCTCACACAGTAGTTCTCAATGGCTGCAAGAATGCAAGTAGTACAGCGTCACCATGGTGACACTGCACTGCTAGGGTGACAGTATGTAGAAAAAAAACCCAAATAAAAATATTAAAAAAAAAAAAAAAATGTAAAAAAAAAAACATTTTTTAAATTATAATTTTTGGTTTATAAGCTAATTTGTGTTTTTGTTTTACTAAAAAGATAACTGAATAAATTTTGGCCAAGATTTATGATGAAATATTATTTATTTGCAAACTTTTATAAGAAAAACACTTTTTTTCAAAATTTTTGGACTTTTTCATTTATATAGCATACAAAATAAAAATCAAAGTGGTGAATAAATACTACGAAAATAAAGCTTTATCTGTCTCAAAAAAATGCAAAAAAATTCATATGGGTACAGTGTTGCATGACTGCACAATTGTCATTCAAAGTGTGAGAGCGCTGAAAGCTGAAAATTGGCCTGGACAAGGAAGGGGGTAAAACTGTCCGGATTGGAAGTGGTTAAGAGGGGTGGCGGGGGGGGGGGGGGGGTCCTATGCAGGGGGGCTTTTTTCAGCAGAAATGCAGGGGAACGCAGTTCCGGTACCTCCAGCACTGAAAGTATGTAATGGCAAGGAGTGCTGGCGTGTGCTGGAGAGTCTATTGGGGGCTAGCTGCAGGGTAATTAATTGTTGCTGGGGGGGGGATCTTGATGAGGGAATGGTCTATTGTTGATGAAGGGTCAATTGTTGATGGGAAGGATCTACTGTTGAGGGAGTGGTCTGTTGCTGCTGGCTGCTGAGAGATCTGTTGTTGCTGTTGGGGGTCTATTGTTGCTGGGGGTGCTTTTGTTGCTGCGTTTTATGTTTTCTTTAGTATGTTCCATACAATTACTTAACACTAAAAATAATACTTGCTTCTGTATTCACTAAAAGGGGTGGTACTGGTAGGTAGGTAGGCAGTGGATGGTGCTCTTAGGTGAGTAGGGGGCAGAAACAAGGGGTGACTAGGAAAGGGGGAGTTCCTGAACCTATTCTCTCAGAAAAAAATCCCTGGTCCTATGCCTACATAAATTTGCTAATAGGTCTCCCTAGTTCCCATCTCAAAAAGTTGGGAGGTATGTCATTCCCATCACTATATTTTTGTACCCCACAATAAATGCTCCTCTAACTCTTGCATACAGTAGTGACATTAATCCATTAATTCCTCATTAACACTTTTAGGGCTCATTGAATATAAAATAAAAATACACCTTTAAGGGAAGTTTGTTCAGAAACATTTTTTCTTGTTCCACAGAATTTCTCAACTATTGGAATACCCAGATAGTTTTCATTTACATATTGTGCAATGGATTTCTAATTTTCTGTTGGTATGTCCTTTCCATGTTTCTGCAATTAGTGACTTGTTTTGCTTTTGTATTTCATAAGCCGTAGACACTAGGCCACATATTCAACTTCTTTGGAGCTACAGCTCATATAAGAATGAATCTCTATGTATTTAAGGTTTTCTGGAGTTATGAATTCCTTTGTTATGGTCATGTAGATGCATGACACTCCAATGACCACATTTGTGAGTGTTTCACTGTTAGAGATAACCGCATTGTTGTAGCCCTTTTTATGTTTACCTATTTTTATCTATAGGATTGTGCTCGGATGTAATGGAAATACCCGCTACGATTGTTGTTCTTGGAGCAGTGAAGGCAAATATTTGGAAAAATATTCCATAGAGATATGCTGACGGATCAGAGAAGGCTTTTATTCCTCTCCGTGTTCTTGCTGGTGAAGATTAACCTTCTCTATGATGATGTGAAATGATACAAAATGTTACAGTTTTCACCAAAACAGGCGCTAAGGGAAAATTTTCCAGTGAGGACTTAGCACTCTGGTGACAACTGTCAATGAGGACATATGCCTTCAGTTTGTAGAGATTAGCTCTTATCTGTCCTGTCCCAAGGACATGAAGTAATGCAGGCCATAGATGGGTCGAAAATCGGCCGATTTTTCGGCCAAAAATAAAATCGGCCAATTTTCGGATCGTTAGTGGGCTAATTGTTCGGCCGTTTTTTTGGTATTTTGGCAGAATTTTTTTATCGGTAAAGTTGGCAAAAAATCGGCCGATTTTGCCGATCAGCCGATTTTCGCGCCAATTATGGGCAAATCGGCCGATCTTTTTACCGATAAAAAAATCTGCGCATGAGCAGTGACCTGCAAGAGGAAGACAAAAAGAAGAAGAAAAAGAAGAAACAGGATGAAGAAGAAGAAGAGGATGAAGAGGAAGAAGAAGAAGAGGAAGAAGAAGAAGAAGAAGAGGATGAAGAAGAGGAAGAAGGGAATGAAGAAGAGGAAGAAGAAGAGGTTGAAGAAGAGGAAGAAGAAGAGGATGAAAAGGATGCAGAAGAAGAAGAGCAGAAGAAGAAGAGGAAGAAGAAGAGGAGGATGAAGAAGAAGAGGATGAAGAAGAAGAAGAAGAGGATGAAGAAGATGAAGAAGAAGAAGAGGATGAAGAAGAAGAATAAGAGGATGAAGAAGAAGAAGAAGAAGAGGATGAAGAAGAAGAAGAAGAGGATGAAAAAGAGGATGAAGAACAAGAAGAAGATGAAGATGAAGAAGAGGAAGAAGAGGATGAAAAAGATGAAGAAGAGGATGAAGAAGAAGATGAAGAAGAAGAAGAGGAAGAGGAAGAAGAGGATGAAGAAGAAGAGGAATTCCAGTCCAGCAAAAAGTGTCCCTGCAGAGAGCTCCGCTATTTCTTTGACAGTTCCTTGACATTTATAGCGGTTGCAACAATGTATCTATTTGTTTCCGAATAAAAACATCTGTATCCTAAATGGATACAAATAGATACATTGTTGCAACCGCTATAAATGTGAAAGAACTGTCAAAGAAATAGCGGACCTCTCCGCAGGGACACTTTTTGCCGGCTGTAGACGGGATGAAAATCGGCCAATTTTTTTTACTGTTCCTGGTAACGTTGGCCGCTTGAACAACCGATTTTTCGTTTTTTTAAAGAAAAATCGTCCGGTTTTCTCCCCATCTATGGCCTGCATAAGTGAGATTCCCCAGTGAGATTCAGGCAATGAAAAAAAACAAAGGTTGTAACCATTCCTTACTCCATCCAAAAAAAGAGGCTATAGTTATATTTACATTTATAGCACAATTATACAACTGTTATATTCAGATTACAATGTCATCAGCCTCAGCCTCTTCCATGCACGTATGTTACCTCCTTGATGTGAAGAAAATCTTTGGGATCGAAGTTGATGGACATTCCCTGTACAGGAGCGTCATCCCCAGCAGCTGGGATGTATCCCACATTCGTCCGCACAGCAAAAGCCACAGGCTTGGTCTGCAGAGAAGCACAAGTTGCAGGTCTTTATTTGAGAGGAAACCCCAGGCAGGATAAAACTGTCAGTCAATCTACTAATATTTAATGGTCCATTGTCCATTATCTTTTCAGTTATGAGCTGGAGGGGTGTCTGCTCTGAACATTACAAATAGGTACCAACAGTTGGATGCGGGTTTCCAGTCATGGCTGGAGGAGCAGCCACTGTTGAATTGAGTTGCAGTTCCATCTCATGTATTATCTGTCCTCTTGGTAGTGGTGGACCACAAAATGTGCTCTTTAATATACAGTCATAGCCAAAAATATTAGCACCCCTGCATTTCTGTCAGATAATGCACCACTTCAGTCTATTTTGGGGGTTTTGAGTGGAATGTGTCAGATTTGGCTTTTTGTTTCATACCAAAACAAACAAAAGAAACAAACATGAAAATGCCTAAACATTTGTAATTGCAACAATTTTCTGAGCAAAGTGGTGCATTAATACAGAAATACAGGGGTGATATTATTTTTGGCCATGGCAGTATATGAGTAGTAGTCAGACATCTTCACATCCAGCCCATTTCTGGCACTTTTTGTTTACATTTTAAAATCAGTATTTTTTGCTAGAAAATGAACCCCCCAAACATTATACACTGCTCAAAAAAATGAAAGGAACACTTTGAAAACACATCAGATCTCAATGGGGAAAAATATCATGCTGGATATCTGTACTGATATGGACTGGGGAATGTGTTAGGAACATAAGGATACCCCATGTTTGATGGAAATGAAAATTATCAACCTACAGAGGACTGAATTCAGAGACACCCCAAAAATCAAAGTGAAAAAAAAAATGATGCAGCAGGCTAGTCCATTTTGCTGAAATTTCATTGCAGCAACTCAAAATGGTACTCAGTAGTTTGTATGGCCCCCACGTGTTTGTATGCATGCCTGACAACGGCGGGGCATGCTCCTAATGAGACGACGGATGGTGTCCTGGAGTATATCCTCCCAGATCTGGATCTGGAAATAATATATTTATTTATTTTATTTTTTAAAGCAGAGGCCCTAGAGAATAAATTGGTAGTTTTTGCTTTTTTTTGTCACACTGTATTTATGCAGTGGCTTGTCAAATGGAAATAATACACTTTTTTGAATTTTAGTGCAAAAAAAAAAAAAAAAAAAACAATACATAACCCAATTTTTTTGTAAAATATAAAATATGATGTTATGACAAGTATGAATATAAACATCCGTTGTGACAGCAATAGACACGTGACAGGTACTCTTTATGGAGGGATCTGGGGTCTATAAGACCCCAAATCCTTCCTCTGCACTTGAAAGCATTCAAAACCCCCAAATCTGTGTTTTTGAATGCTTTCAGATTTACGTCTGAATGCTTTCAGATTATAGTTTACGAATAAATCAGAAGTAATGTCAGGTCATCGCTTTTGGTTTATTATAAAGGAGAGCCAATCAAAGCTGATCCCGACTTTGTTTGGCTGTCTGGTCAGCCAGTGGATGCGTTAGCTAGTGTTCGGGACTCTCGGTGGGACAGGAGATCCCGAGAGAGCCGCGGAACACGGACAGTGGCTATATGATTAGCACTTCTGCCTGGCACTACTAGGATCGTTGTTTCGAATCCCAGCCACGGCACCTCCTGCCTGGAGTTTGCATGTTCTCCCTGTGCCTGCGTGGGTTTCCCCCGGGTGCTCCGGTTTCCTCCCAAACTCCAAAGACATACTGATAGGTTAATTGGTCTCCTGTCTAAATTGGCTCTTTTATATGAATGTGAGTTAGGGACCTTAGATTGTACGCCCCTTGAGGGTTAGGGACTGATGTGAATGTACACTATAGATGTAAAGCGCTGTGTAAATTGATGGCGCTATATAAGTACCTGAAATAAATAAAATGTACGTAAGTTCTAGACAGGCACATGAATTTGGTGCATTCTTCACCACTTCTAGAATGCATGTGAGACACACGTTTGAAAAATCTGCCTGCACCAGTCTTTATGAATTCCAGGGACTGTTTTATAAGTTGCTGATAGGTAGGGTTTTTATGACAGAAGAGACCCTATATGGTCTCTTCTGCCATAAATGCTTTCCTCTGCCTGTCAGCTGTCATGTACACTGAGCAGCACATACACAGTTCAGCATACAACGTACATTTATGGCACTTGATCTTTGCCATGCTGATGTGACTCCTGTGCACGTGCATGAGAGCGATGTAATAGTGAACCGGCTATTCAAGTGGCCAAACAGAAGGAATTGGAAGGAAGACCGGGAGAAAATGGAAGTGCCCAGGTCCAATGGGAGCAATGACAGCACGGCGCTGGAGGGCTTAATATGACAAGTAAAGTGTGCTATAATTTGCCAAAATGTGGTGGATACCAGCACATTATGGCATAACCCAATTGATTTAGAGCTGTCTTAATGCATGGGCATGGCCTGGGGGCCCCAGGTGCATAGGGGCCCCATGATAATCTTGCATCACATCATACTTGCCTATTGTCCCGGATGTGCCGGGACAGTAATGTTTTGTACTGAACTGTCCCTGAATGGTGTGGGCAGCTGTGCCCTCCTGATCCCAGTATTGTGCCTTCCTGACTCCTGTACTGTGCCCTTCTGCCTACAACCCCCCTCCCCCCATACAGTGCCCTTTGTGTTGATTAGTCTTTGATTTATTCCATGTTTTCTTATTGTTTAATATCAATTTTATTGAAAGTACTAATACATATATGTTTAATTCTATCAACTCTCTATACTTTAATTCTTGAAAGTAGGTATGTAAATTGGGACAGGCTGTAGGAGCCCCAGAGCAATACTTTGCCTAGGGGCCCATGATGCTATTAAGATGGCCCTGACCTGAATGCTTACTTTGTTAGGTGTATGAACAGCACTGGAGGGCAAATATAAACCAAGACCCCACCGTGGTCAGGTGAAGTAACGTCACAGTTACAGCCAAAAGCTGGAGGCCCTTTACTGTACTATATTTCTAAAGCTCTTTAATACAGAGAGCCACAAAGTAACATTTTAAAGCAGGAACACGCCATTATACCAGAACAAAATCCTAGTTACCTTTGCTTTCTCCAGCTGTGCAAGGGCATGCCGTTCTGCTTCCTTTCGCAGGGCTTCTCTGTCTTCTTCAAGGGACACATCTGAGTCTGATGGGCGACTGGTATAGGATTCTGCAGACCCCTGAAGAGACAGCACAGAAATAAAGTGAAGCATAATGCATCAACAGCAGGGTAACACTTGTAAAAAACAGCTATTCTAGGAAGTTAAGTCTTAGGGCTCATGTACACGGGGCATTTGGAAAACTCTTCTGAACGATGGAAGCTGACTGCTGGAAAACGTAGGTTAAAAAATCATCAATTTAGCTGCGTTTGCATACCGCGTTTACATTTAGAAGCATTTTTAAAATATAACCTCAGGAGACCTTCCCAAATGCCCAGAATGCACTGAAAAATAGTAAATAATTAACTATTTCAGACATTTTGAGAGAAACAGAGAGCAGAAGATGAGAGAGCGGTATGTGCTGAGATGACCTGTCTTTTCTGGTTGTATTCACTATGGATCCCATCATGAGCATAATGCGGCACGTTCTATCATTTTTTCCTTCACGGGAAACCTGGAACTGACTGTGCTGGTGTACCGGGTCCATTTGAATACATGGAAAATGCTTTGCATACATTTCTGATGATGAAAAAAGGCTCTGGGCAGCATCTGGATATGGAACAGTTAAAAAACACTTCTAAACGCAAATGCTTATAAACGCGGTTAACAGGATTTACAAGCATTTGGCGTTTGAAAAGCTGGTAAAATCTACTCCTGAACGCACGTTTGGTGTGTTCAAAAAAACGACAACTACCTGTAAACAACTATGTGTACATGGGCACATAGGAAAACATTACGGAGAGGTCAGGGGCTGCTGAAAAAAAACGCTGAACAGCAGTTTAGCAGCTGCAGTGTACATGAGCCCTTAGGACCTAAAAAACTTACAATAGAAAATGCAGAAGATGAGGCAAAATATGGCATCTAAATTGTGCCACAAAATGAAAATGAGACATGCAATGTCTGTGCATGTGTTTACATTTACAGTATTTTAAAATGTAATAGTACATTCGAAGTGAGTGAATAATCTACAGTAGGCATAAAACGTAATTGATTCTCAACTTTCTGACACTGTGGGATTGATTTACTAAAACTGAAGTTCAAAATCTGGTGCAGCTCTGCATGGTAGCCAATCAGCTTCTACCTTCAGCTTTGTCAATTAAAAAATGAAAAGTGATTGGTTTTCATTTACAGCTGCGTTCAATTTTGCACTCTCCAGTTTTAGTAAATCAGCCCCAATGTCAAAAATGTGAACACAAGGCACCAAAACAGTTGTTTTTGTTAACTGCGAATTACTTGGCAACCTCACACTAAACGTATAAAATAAAAGTGATTTCTATATATATTCATTATGTTCTGGAACACTGGGGATCTGGATTCAACTATAAAACATAACTTTCGAAGACAAAAACAAAAATCGATAAAACAGTAAAAACATACATAGCTACTTACCTCGCTGTCAAGTCCGTCAACAAACATTTCTCAGTTTATGTCCAAGTGAGTTTTAATCTGCCCAGTTTCTTTCTTTGTTGGTCAGTAAGCCTTTCCTAACCACAAACTATCGCCCTGAGACTTTCCCAAGTGATGTCCATGTGCATTGTATGCACCACCACCAATCTAGGCCCAACCAAACCCAACCAAACCAAGCTCTGTAACTTTTACTGTTGTGTTAAAGTTTTCTATTGATCCACACTGGAACAAACAGTCTCACACACCCACATCCACACTCTTCTCTCTCTGCCTGCTTGGCAATGCTAAATTTTCCTTCCAAGTGCCAGGCCCTCCCTCAGTGAAGTCAGAGTGGCTGTAACAAGCAGATCTATGGAGAGCTGGGGACAGGTGGCAGGCAGCTTCGAGAGCTGCGGACGGAGCACGGGAACTGAGAAACTGACATGATGATTGATGAAAACATGTGTCTGTCTCCAATCCCCTTCAGCTTTTTCTGTTAATTTTAATATCTAGCTACACCCACCACTTTACTACTACACAAAGCTATTAATATCAACTATTACACCCACTAAAAGAACACTACCGCCAGTAAGCCTTACTATACAGAGCATGTCCAAACACTATTTATACCCTAAATCAGCAGCAAGATTGCGAAAATGATCACAGAATCACAATACGATCATTAATGCATCAGTTGCTATTGCTTCCATTAAAAATTCTTTAAATGGTAATTTCTCATAAAAAAAAATTTCAACTATAAATACTATATTAGTCACACTTAAATACTCAATGCTAGCCATGTACAGTCAAATGTCAAATGATCCAAAATTCTCCCTTCCAGCCCCACTCTGTTCGACAAAAGTTGATCGTTCGATCGATCAGACCAGACTTTCATTAATTAGATACAGCCACTGTTCAATTTTTTTGACAGCTGGTGGGGGCCGGCTGTCAAAAAACAATAGCCGTAGTACGAGGAGATTCATCCATCCACACTGTATAGTGGGGATCGAGTAATCAGTTAGTTTTCTCATTCAGCCCTTAGCCTTAAAATATTAAAAGGTAGATTTTTTTTTTAAATAACAAACATGTCATACTTACCTGTTCTGTGCTGTGGTTTTGCACAGAACAGCCCTGATCCTCCTCTTCTCGGGTCCCCCACTGGTGTTCCTGGCCCCTCTCTCCTACCGAGGGCCCCCAGAGCAAGCTGCTTGCTAAGGGGGCACCCGAGTTGGCTTGCTCCAAAGCCACTGCTCTGTGTGTCCATTCACACACTAGTCTTGGCTTCACCCCCTGCTCTCTCCTCATTGGGTCTTTGGCTGTGACTGACAGTACAGGGAGCCATTGGCAGACAGGCTACCAAAATTTTGCTTTCTATATGAGGTAAAAGAGAAAGGAGTTGTGATTTCAGTAAGTTTGCTGTGAATTTTGAAAATAAATGTATCCGCAATGCCTACAGCTATAGAGGTGAATGCAAGCTTGTTTCAAATTTCAGAATATCAGGACCAATATATGTTACTATAGGAAATTTTGAAGAAAGTATTCACTTTTAGTTTAGAGCAGTGCTTTCCAAACTGTGGGCCAGGGCTGGATGGGACCCTTTGCTTGCTTTTATCCAGCCCTTGGGGCACTATTCCATCCACTGCCACCAACAATTGAGCATATGTCCTTTCACTGACACCAATGAAGGGGCGCAGTTCCTCTAAATTTTCCCAATGATGGGGCACCATTCTTGCCACCAACATTTGAGCATATGTCCTCTCGCTGACACCAATGAAGGGCACAGTTCCTCTATATTATTCCAATGATGGGGCACCATCCTTGCCACCAACATTTGAGCATATGTCCTCTCACTGACACCAATGAAGGGCACAGTTCCTCTATATTATTCCAATGATGGGGCACCATCCTTGCCACCAACAATTGAGCATATGTCCTTTCACTGACACCAATGAAGGGGCGCAGTTCCTCTAAATTTTCCCAATGATGGGGCACCATTCTTGCCACCAACATTTGAGCATATGTCCTCTCGCTGACACCAATGAAGGGCACAGTTCCTCTATATTATTCCAATGATGGGGCACCATCCTTGCCACCAACATTTGAGCATATGTCCTCTCACTGACACCAATGAAGGGCACAGTTCCTCTATATTATTCCAATGATGGGGCACCATCCTTGCCACCAACATTTGAGCATATGTCCTCTCACTGACACCAATGAAGGGCACAGTTCCTCTATATTATTCCAATGATGGGGCACCATCCTTGCCATCAACAATTGAGCATATATCCTCTCACTGACACCAATAAAGGGGTGTAGGTTCCCCAAATGATTCCAATGATGGGGCACCATTCTTGCCACTGACACCAACAATTGAGCATGTGTCCAATGAAGGGATGCAGTTCTTTCAAATGACAATAATGATGGGGCACTATTCCTACCACTGACATCAACCATGGAGCATTGTGTACTCCTACTGACAACAGGTCATTTTCGTATCCCACTGGCTTCAATTAGGCCCCTCACAAAGTCTGAAGGACAGTATGCTGGCCCTTTGTTTAGAAAGTTTGGAGACTCCTGGTTTAGAGTAATTGAACTGTAATTAATTCCAATACCATTTATATGAAGTTTATAAGTCATCAGTTTTGTTTCATGCGTAGCCAAAATGCCCACTTAAATAAAACTGTTGACTTTCCAGAGGGAGATATATCTAAGGCTTGCCAGTAGCATCAGTAGTAGATCTTGGACAGCTTGTTCGGAAATTTTGTACCATTCATTAACAAGTGTGGGAGTGAGCAGTCCCAAAGGTCTGTTCATTAATATGCCATTTGTTATTGCACATATAGATTAATGATATGATGTTCATGTTTTCCAATATTGCAAATGGTCCTAGGACAGTAAAATGAAGTGCAATGCTTTTGGTATTTCAGCAATATATACAGTATATATATAGGGATGCACATTAGACCAGATCAACAAGTGTTGCTATCAAATATGCATAGTCCTGCCCAGAATTAATAATTTGGTTCCATGTCAATGCAGATAGACAGAATCATCCACCAGAATTTAATATTACAAAATCTCTTCATCTGCTCGTATGCTGTGTGTTTACTTTGGCTGTGCTAGATTATGAAGAATGCAGCAGGAAAAGTGAGACTAACCATCCTGGTTTTCGAATAGAAGAATTAAGAAGGGAGCGGCTTCAGGCAAAGTCTAACATCTGCTCATTCACTTCTCAGTCTCCTGGAAAATCACTTTTATCTTACTTTCACACTCTCTTCTTGGTTGATGCAAACATAACTTCTTATTCTCCCTCACCATCTGCTGGCAGGTATTCAGTACTGCATTGCCACACTGGGTCTAATCTATTTGCACCAAGAGCTGTTAGAAGACATTTGGTGAATCAGCCCACTGGTTTTTCTTGGAAGTTGAAATATACATTTTAAGTGGACTAACCCATTAAAAGCAATCTATATACACTATATTGCCAAAAGTATTGGGACGCCTGCTTTTACACACACATGAACTTTAATGGCATCCCAGTCTTAGTCCGTAGGGTTCAATATTGAGTTGGCCCGCCCTTTGCAGCTATAACAGCTTCAACTCTTCTGGGAAGGCTGTCCACAAGGTTTAGGAGTGTGTCTATG